TCTTCAAACTCTAAGAGAAATTATGAATTGGTTTATAATTAGAGATAAACAAAAAACTAATACAATAAATTGGATCTTACCACAATGCCAGTTGGATCTTCTTTTGTCTATTCAAGGATTTCTTGGAATGTTAGAAGAAGATTTGCTTTATATCCAAATTCAACTATTATACCTCGTAGAGTATCACAAGATATGCTTGAAGGTCTATTTGGTATTAAATATAGATAAATATTGATATATTTATATTTATTTTTATAAATATTTTATCATGTACTAACCCTTTTGTATTTTAAAGGAATCATGAGAAAAGAATCCAATTTGTCCATCATTATTAATATTTTCTATTGCCATTTTTTTTAAAATATGGTAAGCGGTTTTATTTTGCCATTCTGAATGTTGTTGATTTTCATTCATATAGCTTTTTATTGTAGATATCGAAGGTAATCGCATAATACTTTTCATTGTTTCATAAGCAGAATGACCTGCCCGACTATAAATGGAAATAGCCTATCGTAAAAACCTAAAAAAAAGTTAAAGGTAAATTAAATAATTTTATTATTTTATGTATTTTTTTATTTTTTTAATAATAATATACTTACATCGGATGATATTTTATTCCGTTTGCTTTTTCACTTTGAATTCTAATTAGTTCTTAAAAATTTGGATTAAGAGAAGAAATATCGATTTTATTTTCCGCAACCTCATTGACTACTTTTTGAGCAATTTGATCCAATTCCTCCGATACTTTTTCTCCTTTTTCATCCACTATTTTTTGAAGCTGAGCTTGTAAGGTATGTATAATACGATTTTGATTTACAATTTTCTTTTTTTTTAATAAAAAATAAATTAATTTTTAAAATTTTTTTATTTAATACTTTTATTTAAATAATAATTACCTTTCTTTGAATTTGGATTTTTTGGATTAAAAATTCTTGGGAGTTATGAGCAACTTTAGTAGGTAAAGTACCCATAAGATTTCGATTTTTGATTTTCATTAACGTATTTTTTAATTTTTAACAATTATTACATATATTTGTTTCAGTTACTAACAAATTACAATCTATCCTTCTATAAGATTAATTAGGTTAACCCTGATTCTCTAAATTTGCGAATGTTTCATGAATGTTATCGGAATTTTTTTGATTTCTTACAAGATAAATTCCCCGAAGGCGAAATACCTCGTCAAATCCTAAAATAATTTTTTTTTAATTTAAAATACATAAATGTATAAATATAAATGTATAAATTAAAATTATCATAAATTCATACCTTCAGTTTTTTGTCCAATACATATTTTTACTACAGTTACATAATTAATTATTTTTTCTATCTCCGAAAGAGTTCTTTCAATCGCAACTCCTGTTTCTACTTCATTTATTTTTTTAATACTTTTTTCTAAAACATATAACTCGCAAGAAATTAAGCTTTTACACCATTTAAAAACCAAATTTTTTTCTATCTTTTGTTTTTTTCCAAAAAATGTTATACCTATTTCATTAACAATTTCTCTAATTCCTACACCAAATAACTCTTGCTTTAAAGTTATATTTGTTTCAATTAATGATCTAACCTCCTCTATGCTTGCTGAATTAGAATTTTTCCAATATGAGATTTTTTCAGTTCTTAATAATGAAGCTAAATTAAAACTGGAAGAATTTGATTCAAAAAAAATGGTAATAAGTGCTGAACATTCACCACTAAATACTTTTTTTTTTTTTGATATTTAATCTAAGAAGCAAAAGTATTGAACTTTTCACTAGTTTTTTTATCAAAAACATAAAAAGTTTTGTCTTTTTTATCATAAGTC